CGTTTACAGAGAAAAATGTGCGTCGATTGGTTCGGTGGACCCTTATTTGATTACAGCACTGATATACATTCATGGCCTTCACTTTCCTACTGTGATATCGTGAACTACCTGTTTTTTTCGCCTATTCCATTGTACACCATGGAGGAAATGAAAGCGTACAAAGGACTCGAGGCATATAACCAGTTCACATCCGGGTGGATCCGCGACGTTTGCGTTGCATATCAAGGAGATGTGGCTGTAATAGCTGGAAAAGTGAGTAAATATTTCGTGATGGCCTCTTCAGCTGGCTTTTTAAATATCCCTAAAGTCCCCCAAAATAAAATGGGTGAGGCTGCTTTTATCCACTACGCTACCAAGAAATATCAGAGGCCAACTCAGTGGACATTTTTAAACACCAGCTTTTACTTTTGTTGTACTTTATTTTATAGGGTTTTATATTGTTGCATCAATTAACTTAGTCTTGTGTCTTATTATTTATTTTTATTATCATACCTTTTACCTCCTCGTGTCTCTTAACCTGTTAAAATGTTATATGTTGTTGCTATGTACCTGTAAAGGTCTTAACATCTGATCTGAGGGGAATTTCTTGTGGTTTATTTTTAACTTGTGATGTGTGCCATTTTGTAAAGCACTTTGAGCTACACGTGCTTTATGAAAAGGGCTTTATAAATAAAGCTTTATTATATATTGCAATATATTTAAATTACAAAAGTTGTAAACCTATTCTTGGTTGTCAGCTTCTGTTATGTGCTACCTAGCATAGGAATATGACAAGAGCTGACCACCCACTGGTTGTGTAAACAATCAGTATTTTAAAGTAAAGTTGGACCAAAATATTGGTGGTTCTAAAAAGTCAACAATCAATAATATTTTTGTATTTTATTTTTCAGGTATTGCATTCTCAGAGTATTGGGCTGCTGCCAACATGTCCGTGGGTACTGATGAAGAAGGATGGTGCAGTCATCACAGCTAACTGCAACTGCAAGGCTGGTTTGGGATCAACATGTACCCATGTTGCATCTCTCCTTTTCTACATAGAAACATCTATACGGATACGTGATGCCTAGACAGTTACCCAGGAAAAGGCGTATTGGCTTCTACCTGGATCAGTAAAGGATGTAACACCTTCCCCTGTTGCTGACATTGACTTTACTTCGGCTAAAACCCGAAGGAATCGTTTAAGCCAAGCAATTGACAGCCTTGGCGATGCAGCTAATTTAACAACAACAACAACACCACTTTTAGATAGATAGATAGATAGATAGATCGTACTTTATTGATCCCAAATTGGGAAATTGTTTTTGTTACAGCAGCATAAAAGGCATTTTACAATAAAACAAAATATACAAGAATAGAAATAAAATAAAATAAAATATAAAATAAAATATAAAATATACATGTCAAAATACAAAATAGAAAATATACATACAGATATTATATATATATATATATATATATATATATACAAATATACAAATATATATATATTCAAAATATATGGAATTATGGAGTATTAAATATGAAACAGATTATGTGTGAGTAAAATGTACAAGGTGGTTTTATTTCTAGAGAAACTATGGAGCAGAGAGTTCTCTTCCAGCCAGAGGTGATTTGTTGTACAGTGTTATTGCAGTGGGCAGGAATGTTTTCCAGTATCTGTCCTTGTGACAGGGGAGCTTACGTCACTCGAGGGAGATTCCAAAAGCGACAGATGCTGAGCAACAGTCTTTCCTGGCATCACTGAAATCTACTGGAAGGAAGTGTGCAATATTGACAATCTCAGCTCCACACAATGCCGATTTTGTCCCAAAAGTGACTTTGTCAACATTTCCTAAGCCGCTTTCTAGTTTAAAAAGTGAGAACTGCCTAGAAATGGACCATAAAGCCCTTACAGAACATTGCCAAGGGATCAATGTAGCTATCACCAAGCCGGAGGCGGATGTAATTGAGAAGGCCACAAAAACACAGGCCAAATCCAAACTCTGGTATCGATACAGAGCTGGGCGGATTACAGCATCTCGTATGAAGGCAGCATGTTCAACAAGTGCAACTAAACCATCGCTTAGCTTGATTAAAGCTATTTGTTACCCAGAAGCCACACAATTTAAAACTGCAGCTACTGAATGGGGATGTAATCACGAGAAATCAGCACGTGAAGATTACATTACAATTATGAATCAACATGACAGTTTCATTTGCCAGGACTCTGGGCTCGTGTTATCGCCAACATTTCCATATTTAGGTGCTACTCCAGATGGTGTTGTGTCCTGCAAGTGCTGTGGTGTAGGTGTTTTGGAAATGAAATGCCCCTACTGTGTTGCTGCACCGTCAGATCATACATGTCTGGAATCACGTGATGGACAGGACAGGCTGAAGAAGACTCATGCCTATTTCTATCAAGTGCAGACCCAGTTATTTATATGTGATGTTGAATATGCTGACTTTGTTCTGTGGGTGAATGGAAAGATTCATCTTGAACGCATAACCCCAGATATTGACTTTTGGGAGAAGGTATACCCCAAAGCTCATGAATTCTTTCAGATGGTCATTCTCCTCGAGTTGAGTGGGCAATTCTTCACCAGAATTTCCAGTGCAACTACACCAGTCTCCATTACTGCACCAAAAAGGCCTCTCTGCCTGATACCAGACCCTGCTCTATGTGCCACTCTGACTCAGCCAACCAATACCCAACCACTGATACCCAAGTGGTGCCTTTGTCGTGGAGAGGAAAAGCTTCCCATGATAGGATGTGATAACACAAATTGTGAAACTACCTGGTTTCATTTTGAATGTGTTGGTATAACAGTTGCCCCCAAAGGAAGCTGGTATTGTGACAAATGTCATCAGCATGTCCCCTCTCAAAAGAAACAGAAGTACTAATCAATCTGAATGACAGTGTATATATTTATTTGATTAAACATGTTTCTTTTACATCAAATCTATATAAAGAACATGTAAGTGTAACAATCAAAAAAAGTTGTGCACACTAAAATGACACAAAGCATCATTATTTAAACTGACATTGAAAGTGCAAAACCTCAGCTCAAATATCCAAAACTCTAAACACATGTTCAGCTCTGCACCCAATTTGCAATTCAACTTTCCACTTTTTGAAAAGTAAAAGTATAACAACAGTATATTTGTGTTTCTGCACATATTTTGGAGACTTGAACAATCTTTATTTGCAGAATTCTCTATATCAAACGCCATAAAAGATGAGTGTGCTTGAGCACGATGGTGTGTAGTTGGTTTTACAAAATGTCTTGTACTATAAATGAAGTGTGTGCCATTTGGTGCAAAAGTTTGGTGTTTCTGTAGTTCTGGGTGCAGTGCTTCATTCTGCAGTAGGTGTTTTGCACTTTGTGTGTATGGTTTTGTGAATTGTGTTTAGTGTTTTGAGAAAATAAGCCCTGCTTTAAAAAAATGTGTTTTAGCATTGAAAAAACCCGTAATATGGACACAATGTTAATCTATCTCTGTTATGTGAGGTGATCTCTGCAGCTTACAGTTAAAGGAGCATGTACTTGTTTTTCACCCTTTTTCATTGGAAACCTGTAATAAATATAATACTTTGCCCTTTCAATTGTTTTTTTCAAAATGTATTTACCCAAGCTTAAATATTCTACCAGTACTATTACAGTGTGCAGTGCAGGTCTGAAACCACATTCAAGCAATTTGGGATGTGTCCAATCTGACAATAGAAAACTTGAGAGAAAAACATTAATCTTCCATGCCTGAAAACAGCTTAAATATTTTTTCAAACATTCCCCTACACAACCAAACCCCAAATCACTGCTCTGATTATCAAGACATTTAATTGACGAAGTACAACATTGACAATAATGTAATACTAATTACAATACAAACATGTCATATTTTTTAATCTGATATGGGTTGATTGGGGTGTAACAGAATGTAAAGGCTCAATCAACGGGTATTACAGTGTCACACAAATTATTCAGGATACTGTAGACGTGGATGTGTTGAATTTATAAGCCAGCTCTTGCAGGGGTTGGTTTAATCTTAATTTCATTAGTGTCAGTATAAACTGTTGAAATGTAGACAGTGAACTCTTAGCGTTCACACTGATGTGCAGTTCCACAAGATTGTATACCATCATTAGAATAGCAAAAGTAGGAAGTCCCATGTAGAACCGCACATGGTCATCATCGCCCTTAAATGTACTCTCTGAAATGGTGGACTTTACAAGCTTTTCTTTTAAGTTAACATTTTCTGTTGTTACATTATTAATTTCAAATGACATTTTGTCAATCATTTCACCAGTCAAATCAGTCTGAGTTGCAGTGCCAGTCTCTGGTTCAATCAGTCCTTCTTCTTCCCCAGTGGCTCCCAGGACTGGTGCGGGCTCTTCTAGAGATGGTATATCAGATACCATGCTGTAGAGATCAAGTAGTGCGATGGATGACCTTTTTCTGGCGCGTTTATACCTGGCATGTGTAGCAGGGGAAGGTGCTGTAATTTTCTCGTGGCCCAATTTGACAGACGGTGCCCAGTCAGGATGATTTTTGTCAAAAAGTGCCACTGGTTTACCTGCAAATAAATCAGATTGTAGGTCAGTTATATCCTGGGTGAACTGTTAATTAATACAAATTTGACCTCTTTTGACAAGCGAAGTCAGACTTTAGATATATTTAAAATGCTGGTGTCAAGACATAGGAACATGACAAATAATTGAGGAAACCAAAAGCCTCTGAAAAGGTGCCAGGGACTGTACAGCCTTTACTGTTTACATATAATCAAATGGCCAGTAGGGGGAGGAATTACTTTAAATTACAGTTAAACGAAGCACTGCAGGGGACTGACAGACTGGTGTGAAGATGACCTGAGCCAAGGGATGACTTTACTTTGTAGATACTCCACAATCTGATATGTCGATCGATGACAGACTCCAGGATTCTTATTTCCTTGTTAAGATACATGTCTTAGTACGTGGGTTATATGTTCATTTTGAATGTTTGTATGTAAAACCCGACACTTACCTGACGTGAAATGATCCCCACAAACGCGAGTATAGTTGTGGTTGGATGGTTTGAGATCCTCCCGTCCGATCCTATTGAGCCATTTTTCCCGGCGACGCTTTGAAAGTTCATGTGTTGCTTCACCCTGGTGTGTTATAACCGCCGGCAGCCTGTAAAATGACTTCGGCCCCCTGTTTCGATCACCTCTGTTGCCGCAGCCAATTGGCACAGAAGTTAACCATTATATGTCCGGTAAAAAAACAGCGCTGACGTATTACGGTGTCTGTTTTGGTACTCCAGTATGGCCGTTGGGCTGATGTCACGTTACCCGTGACGTCATATGCAAAGCCTCTATACCCACGAACCCCCCTAGCATGTTTGGACCTCGGTATTTAGGAAATCCTGGATGGTAGATAGTGATGGAGATGGCCGGGTGTATTGGTCAGCAGCCAAATCCGTAGTCTGCTTTAAGCAGAGTTGTTTGCGGAACACGTTATCGCCGAAGGAGGGCAGCAGTTTGCTGAACTGCTCACTGAAGACAACAAGCATGAAGAAGGAAGAGGAGGGAGCTAAAGTGATGAGGGAGGATTACTCAAACGGAAAAAACTGACTTTGCCGACAGTAGGCTATTTGTCTTTAGCTGACCTTACACTGTGACTGCTGGCAATGATGTGCTTTGGGAAAGCCCTACCGGTCGAATAACCAGAAGCATCACGGGCACAAAACTAAAAGCAGGTTAGTAACAAGGCCACCGGATAAGTTAGGTAGTTGCTAAACGTTTACAAACCGTTTTGAGATTGGCGTAAAGTTGCTTTTTTTTTTGTCGAGGGGGGGGGGGGGGGGGGGGGTGGGGTGCTAGTGACTTATCCGAGCGGCCCACCTCGTGCCGCAAGTACATACCGCGAGGAAATTGTCGACGTTGGAGTAACTAATTACTCCAATTCAATGCTACATTGTATAAATAGAATGGACAATCAGACACAGCAAATATGTCACAGAATTACTGCTGCATGTGTACGACCCCTAAGGATACACTGATGGACCTGGAGTGAATGTCTGTCAAATATTCAACCTGAAACTAACTTAACCAGGCAATATTTGATATTGTTTCATTTACTAAAGGTTGGTAATTTGTGATGTGCTGCAACCCATTTTCCCCTCGGGGACAAATAAACGAATACTACTACTAATGTTAGATTTGTCATTTTTACTTTTATATTAAGTTATTTTTATATTTAACTCTTGTGCCCTTGTTTCCTATTTCATTTTGCAGACGCTTGTTGCATTTCTCGCAATGGGAAGCCTGACAACAGCAGCTATGGTAAGCAGAGCAGTTTTGAGCCGAGGCATCACTGCTCACCACCTCAGTAAGAATGTCACTTTTTATGTGAATGAATTAGAATCTCCAGTGTTTGGATGTCAGAACAAAGCCTCTGAAGACCATAAACCTCTTATGCTCATGCTGCCTTGGATGGGCGCACGTCCTCAGGCTATGGCCAAATATTGTGAAATCTACTTCCGTACCGGCTTTGATGTGCTTGTTGTGGAGAGTGAGGTAAGGTAAATACACATTTAGAAAATGATCTAAAAAAATAATTCATACACAACAAAGAGGAAATTAAACCCAGTCACAGCTTTGTATTACAAGCATGTACAGCTGTTAGTTATATGTTTACATTAATTGAATTTAATTCATGTTATAAATGACTAAAGATGAAATGTTAACAGCATAAAAACTACTGTTTTGAAAGGACATATCATTGTGATATTTAAAATACATCAGAATGGAGATGTGTATCATGTGTCTTTTGTCTCTCCAACAAGTCAAAACAAAAATATAATTAACTGATACCTGTGAAAGATAAAAAAGGTTATCATTAGCCTCAGAGATATGAGTTAAGCAAAAATAGGGTATATGGTATGGATTTTATCAGATTTTTTCTCAAATCTGATCTTGGGGTCATGACTGTTTACACTCATGTTAGATATCACCAGTGAGGGAAAAGTTTGTGGTCGGTAAGGACCCCAATGCACTCATTGCAACAACACATGAGACTCATACCTCCAGTGGGGCAAAGGTTCATTTCATGTTAAGCAGGTTGTAAATTAATGTCATACAAGTGCATGCAGTGTTATGTATCCAAGACTTACTGCGTGCCAGCATTTAACTGTTGTACAGGTGTGGTGACTAACCATAATACATAACAATGAGCCAACAAAGCGAGGTAATAAAGAGAGCGCACTCTAGTAAGTATGTATTTAGGCAATTCAGGTAACACATTAAGAAACTGGAATTGCTCATTTGTATTGTACAAATGGGTTATAGCAAGAAACACTAAGGGTTAATCTTGCTCGGTTACAAGAAAGCTCCACAGTGATCTGTACCAGAAAGATGGTTAAGTGCTGTGAACCTCTATTGCTATTCCTTTACAAACACTGAGACTCTGCATCTCCTGCCATTCCCAAAATAGCTGTCAGACATGCCATATCATTCCCACATTTAAACAGTCAATATCAAATGGCATATTTGAGCTCATTTATTTCTTTCTGATTGTTTTACTCAAGGTGCATGAGTTCCTGTGGCCTCGCTGGGGTCTGGAGCATGGGAAGAGGTTGCTAGAGTTGCTCCAGACCGAACGCTTTATGTCCCGCCCACTGGTTGTCCATGCCTTCTCTATCGGTGGCTACACATTTGCTCAGCTGCTGATACATGTCTCCCAGGACATCCAGAAATATCAGGACCTTACACAGAGGATAAAAGGCCAAGTCTACGATAGTCTGGTGGTGGGCTCAGTGGAGACGATGGCCATAGGTCAGTTCAATATTTATATGATTTAACACATTAACTAATTTAATTTCAATTATTACTCATAATGCTAAATGACACTGGCTGGATTGAAAAATCAAATGTGGATACACTTATGAATAGTGCTATTCAGTTCAAATAATACTATTTTTTGTCCTCTTTGCCCAGGTCTTGGTAAGACTTTATTTCCACGTTTGGAGACACTGGTAACAAAAGCAAGCATGTTATACTTTGGCATGTTCAAACGCCAGACAGTGGACTACTTTAACAAAAGCATTGATACGTTTTGGGAAACCCCTATCACCGTTCCTGCACTGTTCTTCTTTTGCGAGAACGATCCAATGAGCGACCCACGAGCCATGGAGGAGATAATTGATCGCTGGAGAAAGCGCGGGATAGACACCACAGCAAAGAAGTGGAAGGAATCAACACATGCCGGTCACCTGAAGAGGCACCAACAAGAATATCTGACCACCATAGACATGTACCTACATACACTTGGCTTTACCCAGCTAAAGGCCAAGATGTAAGATCATTTCTTTACAACACATTGCCATTTTAGCTTGACTTTACTATGTTGAACTTAAAATATGTGTACCAAACCAAAGTAATAATACAAATGGCTACATCAGAATGGGTTTGTGAAGAAAAAGAAAACATATATTACGATGCATTAGCCGCGTTCACACCGGAGTACTTTTCACCGTACTTTTCGCGTTTAGTTCCGTTAGTACCCCTTATGTCGCGTTCACACCAAAAAGAGCACTTAATCTCGGGAACTTTTACCCCCATTTTTAGTGCCTGCTGAGAGATCGTACTTTCCTGGGGGAAAAAAGTGCCCCAGTTCTGGTTGGCTGGGCGAATTGCAAACCACGCCCCGTACAACTCTGAAATGTTTTGTAGAGCCGCCATTTTATTATCCTCGCATGAGCATTATTAGCATTAGCATTCGCCCAGCGCACAAACGCAGAGAGACTAACTTATGGCAACACAAAACAAAACATGGGAGCGGTGGAGATGAGGAGGTGTCGGCGTTCTGGCGATTTACTCGGAAGGCTTCAGTAGAAGCTGCTGGGAGTCCCAGCAGCTTCTACTGAAGCCAGTCCCCAACTCCGGGGACTTCCGGCCGGGGACTCCGGGTGGCAGTATACGCCGTGAAGTTGTTTGCTGCCTGCCAGTAAACCCAAAGCAGAAGAAGACGAAGTGACGTCAGCGGCTCATTTGCGTAATCTTCCCTCAGGGAAAAGTACTCCGGTGTGAACGCGATCTGTACTAAATGCCCTGAGGTCATAAGTGCCGGGGCTCTGAGTGCCGGCACTAAATACGGCAAAGTACTTGGTACCACTCTTGACTAGAGTGCCCAGATCCCAATTCCTAAAGAGATGTGTTAAAGATGTTGTTCATTTGTTTTTTCCAATTCAAAGCTCTTTTTACAACGAAAATCACTATAACCAAAGTCAGTGGAATTGTGTTAACCGAGAAATCTGATTTGTTTCAGGCATCAACTAAATGTTATTTACAAAGACAAAAAGTCCACTTCAGCAGTCAACTTCATTTCACTTTACTTGACCTTCACTTTATATTTAAATGCACTCTGCTTGGTATGCTGAAGTGATTATTCAAATGTTCCAGCTGTGAAAAACAGTTCTGAGTTTACAACATTCATGAAGGATTGCACAATAACCACTTTAGTGGGAGTGTGTTCCAGGGGAAACTCTGTTACACCTCCTTATTTTTCTGTCAATGGAAAGTGCTCTTTGTAGCATGAAAGAAAAGAGTATTGGTTGTAGTGCTATACTATCCGGAAGTACACTACCTAATTGCTGCTTTGGTTGCATTTGAAAGTTTCTCACACTGGCTCTGTGACAGTGAACAAAGGGAATTGAAACCTGTTATGCCACTTGTGAAACCAGCCAGTCATGGGAATGTTAACACTATGACGCATCTAGAATAATGACTTATGAGCTTCAGTGGTAAACCTGCATAAATGGCGGTGCCAGACAATCTACCGAAGCAGCAAGTAATAATTTTGACTTATGTAACGTTTGATAAATAAATTAAATGCCAATGGAAGATTTTGAACATAGAAGGAACATTTTAAACATATTGCAAAATGTCAGTTTTATTTCAGTTACTGTATATAATATATTGATTTACTTTGTGTATATCTTGTAACCTTTTTATTTTATGAACAATGTTGCTACCTGTGTAGATTTCAGAAAGCTGATAAAACCATACAAATGAACACCATAATACATCGAGGATTATGACATAACCCATAATGAGCTTCTGTGGTAAACCTGTATAAATGGCGGCCGTTGAATGTCGATGTTGGAACAAGTGCCTCTAATGTTGTAAAGCTTTGTGTCTCAGAACTTGAACATTTGATATATTTCTGTGTGCAATAAAATTACAAGAATGTAACCGTTTTCTATTCAATGTTACTTACTGTATTGTTTATCTTTGTATACTTGTTTCTCACATACCCTTCTCATTAGTTAGGTTACTAGTAGGCCTACAGTTTATCTGTCGTTGTGCACTGGTAAGCTTTATATTTCATATGAAATATCCATAAAATATTTCACTTCAGGAGTTTTTAGTTAACTCAATGACAGAAAAAAACTGTCCTTAAGCAGAGGTGGGACAGGCACTCTGATATTGTACTTAAGTAAAAAATAGTACCAGAGTGCAGGAATACTCTGTTACAAAAGTCCTGTAATCAAAATGTTACTCAAGTAAAACTACAAAAGTGTTAGCATCAAAATAAACTTAAAGTAACAAAAGTAAACACAATACAAATAAGCCCATTTCCAAATAATATATTACATGTTTTGATAATGATTATTGATGCATTAATGTGTTTAACAAAGCTTGTAAAGTGGCAGCTATTTTATTTACTTAATAGGCTATGCAGGTTAGCTTGTCGATGTTACTCCAGGTGTTGCTAAAATCTTATTTATGACTGTTTATATTTCACATCATTAATCAAAATCTGCTAACTAAATATATTAAATCAAGTTAGTGGAGTACACATTATGGGCATAGATATGTCTCATAATTATTTGTGTGAACATAACAATTATTTGTGTGTAAATATGTGATTTGGAAATGTAAAACACAATCCACAAATGCATTTAAAAGATTTGCAAACTCACAAATACATTTGCAAATGTAAAACGGATCTGCAAATACGCTAAATATGTTCACAAATAAAAAAAAGATCTGTGAATATCTCTTTAGCATTTACAACTTTCGATCAGGCATTTGTGAATCCATTTTGTATTTGTCGACCAAAAATGCGCTTGTGGATCTCAACTCTCTGCTCGTGGATCTCAAATGTCAGCTTGTGGATCGTCTTTTACACACACGGAATTTTGAGACAAACTTTCCTCTGGTCTCAGCTAAAATCTACTCGTGTAACTCGGTTATTTTCGGAAACCACGTGATGGCCTGCTGATGACGACATTTCCGCATGATTTCAAAGTAAGAGCATGATGGCTTGTTTAATGCTCTGTTTTATTATTATAATGAACAGCGAAACGTTAGATGCATTCTTTATCACCATCATCATCATCATGTTATGGTGATACAGTTAGTTTGTGTTAGTTTATTGGTTCAATACAGCATATATCGAGCACTTTCGGAGGCATTGATGTTGAAGTACAGGCTACGCCACTTCGGGTCCCGGGGGAGCAGCTGGCAGCGAAGCAGCCCAGAGGAAACTCTTTCTTCATTGTTTTTTGTGTATTCAGTCAAAGTTACAAAGCACTTCACATTTTATTAATCGGCCTAATTTTACCTTACCAGTGCAGTAATAAAGTAATCTGTAGAAAAGCACCGTATTTAGGTCAGCCTTCATAGTAAGGCTACATTAAATGTTATAATATTCATCGTGTCCTTTCTACTGTATATGCATATATTCCTGTCTATTGCTTTCATTTGTATTTCATGTTATTATGTTTATACTTGTTTCCACACATTTCACAATTTGGGATGAATGAAGTATCTATCTATATATGATATCTATCTATCTATCTGTCTGTCTGTCTGTCTGTCTGTCTGTCTGTCTATCTATCTATCCATCTGTCTGTCTGTCTGTCTGTCTGTGTACCTACCTACCTACCTACCTACCTACCTACCTACCTACCTACCTACCTACCTACCTACCTACCTACCTACCTACCTACCTACCTACCTACCTACCTACCTACCTACCTACCTACCTACCTACCTACCTACCTACCTACCTACCTACCTACCTACCTACCTGCCTGCCTACCTATCTGCCTGCCTACCTACTTACCTACCTACCTACTAGTTGTTTTGTTTGGAAAGGTTGTCATTGTATTGCTCTTTACCAGCACCTGCAGAGTACAGGACTTTACATTGTAAATATTATATCAATCCTATAATATTGGTTTCTAGCATATATCATTTGCAAGTGTTTAAAACAAATGTGGGATACTGATTTCATAAAAAGAAAGACATTCATGATTGTCATATTTTATTATGTAGGATACAGGACTGGACTGTAGTCAAGTAAACTTACTTTACTTATTATTTCAGTGACCCAAGTCGATCACTGTATGAAAACGACGCAGCGTTCTAAGCCCCGAGGGTACTACCGCCATCTACTGGCTGCAGTGTTTTTGTGTTATGCATTATTGCATGAGTAAAACTAGAGCATTTGGTTAAATCAGATGAAAGAATATAATTACTTATATTTATATTGACTGTGCGTGGGCCTGGCAGTGGCAGATTCATTTCAGGCAAAAGTGTGCACAATCAACGGTAGGGCGTGTATTTTAATTGTTTGAATAATTTATATGGTTATAAAATATAACATTGAAACACTGACGCAAAGAACACATATTTAGAATGTGTAAGTAAGTTTACTTGACTACAGTCCAGTTCTGTATCCTACATAATAAAATATGACAATCGTGAATTTCTTTGTCAATTACTTTTATCAAATGAATATCCCACATTTGTTTTAAGCACTTTCAAATTATATGTTAGAAACAAATATTATAGGATTGATATAATATGTACAATGTATAAAGTCCTGTACTCTGCAGGTGCAGATAGATAGATAGATAGATAGATAGATAGATAGATAGATAGATATAGATATATATAGATAGATACAGACAGACAAGACAGACAGACAGACAGACAGACAGATATCATAGATGGATAGATAGGTAGATAGACAGATAGACAGACAGACAGACAGACAGACAGACAGATATCATAGATGGATAGATAGATAGATAGATAGATATAGACAGACAGACAGACAGATGGATATCATAGATAGATAGATAGGTAGATAGACAGATAGACAGACAGACAGACAGACAGACAGATAGATAGATAGATAGATAGATAGATAGATAGATAGATAGATAGATAGATAGATAGATACAGACAGACAGACAGACAGACAGACAGACAGACAGATAAATAGATGGATATGATAGACAGATATGATAGACAGATAGATAGATATAGACAGACAGACAGACAGACAGATGGATATCATAGATGGATATCATAGATGGATAGACAGATAGATGGATAGATAGATATATAGATAGATAGATAGATAGATAGATAGATAGACAGACAGACAGACAGACAGACAGACAGACAGATAGATAGATAGATAGATAGATAGATAGATAGATAGATAGATAGATACAGACAGACAGACAGACAGATAAATAGATGGATATGA